TAATTTACCACAATCTCATTCATATGAAGCCCCCTCAGTCGCTAGTTCGTCTATGTTCGCAAATATCTAACCCTTCCCCTACATGTGCTCCTTTTTTGGCTGTCTACCCTTAATATATTAATATTAATATGTCTACCTTGAATATATTTACTGTAGTCATGAGTTGTTCATAGCTCGTCCTCCGTTATCGGTTCACTCTCAACAATTTCTTCAGCGCAGCAACCTCCTAACAGTAGTTTTCTATGACGTTATCTTAAGTGAGAAGTCAAGGGAGCAGCTCAGTCCGGGACTCTGCATTGGAACTTATATCCGGTCACATCAAAAGAGATACTCCCATAGGAAGCACTTGAAGAAACAAAGGCATCCATAGTAGACCATAGGGTACTGCACTCGATTAAGGTACCAGAAGGAGACTCACCGTCAGAACATTCTAGTATCAATCTAGTAATGTCGCCCGTCAGATTTCTCATGATCTCATGTAAACACTTAATAGTTCGAGCACCTTGAATAGCAGACGCTTCTAGAAAATAACCTCAGTAGACACCTAATATGTTTTTCTTAGATTCTGTTAGGAATATAATAGATCGATCAAATTCACCGTGTTTATGTGTTGATCCTATCGGACCCGTGATGTTATTGAAGATGAAACAATAATTCACTGGAAATGGCGTCATCATTGGTCCCATAAATCGGGGGGACCCTGGAGAAAGGCGCTTCCGTCAACTGTTGTTCTGCCAACTGTGCTATCGTTAAAGAGCAAAAGCCGACGAACAGAGCAACTTTTCAGAACTGATCACATAGTTCTATTGAAACAAAGAAGAGAAGCAGGTTAATAAATAATAATAAATAAATAAATATGTAAACTAGTTGGCATTGATGAATATTTTTGGTTGGTTACGTGTTGCCCACTCTGGTGCTCTTACTCTTCTGAGGGACTGATCACTGCATAGCCTTGGAAAAATGAAGGCTTCGATGAGGATCCATAACGACCTCTCGTTGGTCTCACCGCTGAAGGTGAACTCAGAATAACTAGTTATGAGGTAATCATGGAGAGAAGTGAAGGTTGAGCTAATTTAAGCGCTCAATTCCCAGAGTTTGAAGAAGTGAGATGAATCGCTTTAAAGCATGGTGGACCATTGCTTTTTCAAGGGGAAGAGAAACACCGAAAAGACCGCTCTGGCAACGGCTCACAGAGCTAGATGACAAGCAGATCAGGATTTCTGAATATAGCGAGTCTGGAAGCATCTACTCGAAAGTTGCTCTAAAGATCTGAGCTGGACCAAATTAAAAATCTGATCTTCGGACCTTGTTTGAAAGAGAGTGCCATCCACGCCCTGATCTCCCAATCGGTAGATGTAGATAAATAAGTATTACCATAACAATTCACTGCTGGATAGGAATAATATTTTCAGTATTGTTCCAATTAAATTAAATGTATTGGACTTTGCTAACAAGTGGAAAAAGTATTGAACTTCTTTAGTAACATAACAGGGACGTTTAGTTTAGGACAACCTACGAGAATTTGCTTTGGACTTGATGAAATTCAAGTGTAGGATTGCTGTCCCTCATGACAAGTAACTTACAAGTTTTTAGACACATCATGTTCAAGAATGCCTGCTCATCGCCTCCTACCGCCGCATATGGCAGCACGCTCAAGTAACCGTAGCGTAGAACTGTGCTGGTGTGTTGGACAGCTGTGCAACGACTATCCGAGTGTTCCCATGAATTTAGTGTTAGTTTATTTTTTGATATTTTATCATTTAGGGTTATGTCCTTAGCACGTAGAACAAAGAGATTAAGCGGTGTTCAACAACAAAATCATCCCTCTAGGATGCGCCATGCATTCTTCTTACAGTTGCGAGACCAATACATTAGTGGACCTGTAAATGACTTGTAGGTGTTTCTCTATGCTGTGCTGATGATTTCGTTCTCCCTGACAAGTATGGGATTTACTCAACTGTTTCAAAGAGAAAGGGAGGCTTGGGCGAATTGGGGAGATCCAACTCATTACACATGGATGTAGTATCGGCTGCACATTTAACCATGAGTCCTCCGTGGCCTTTATCTCTTTTCAAAATAACTGAGCCAAAGAAGTAACTCTTGATCCGTAGCGTAACTAGTATCGACTTCGTTATGCAGTTGGTTACATAGATTTTGATCCTTGTAAAGGCTTCACGCAAAACAAAAGCTGCAATATCGTTTCGGAGAGTTTCCGGAAACATTTATCTTTCACCAAGATCTCCTAACAGTTTTTGTTTTCATATAGTAGTCTATGGCAACGTCTCTTCAAGGTTGACATCTCAACCCATCAATTGAACTCATGAATTGGCCAAAATAAATGATACTAATCGAATAGCATTGACATAAACGAACATGAAGGCTTCGCCTCCACGTTGTCTTGGAAATTACAATTGGATACGTCCAAATATAAATTCCAGTGACATCCTGAAGACTGACCTACCCCATTCCGTTGAAAATCGATTATGACATTTTTAGATAAATTACTTTTAATACATCGCAGTCTAGCAGCAGTGGAGGATGTGATTTCCTTTGTAGGGTTTAGAGGAGGAGTTGGGATAGGGGAAG